GAGTGTTATCACGAGCCGGAAATCGCCATGATGCGGAACGACATGTTTACTAACACGCGCATTAGCTGATTAAAAGGCCGCAGGGAATGAGCCCAAAATGCAAAATAGCTGCCAGGACAGTACTCAGTTCTCGAGCCATTTTATCACCTCCAGGCTTCAGCAGTTCGTTGGAAATGCAATAGACCATCTCACTGCTACTCTTTAGCGTAGAGATTACTTCCCTTGCCATTAATTGGACGGGCGATCAGTCTCTAGATTCACCCATGCCCAAGCCCTTATTGAGATTCAAGTGACAGCCCAATTCATTAAACTCACATCGGTGTCTGAGAAATTTACTGATCTGTCGCATTGTGGTGCTTTTCGTCCCTGTGTCATTCAGTTATCTTAACAGGATTCCTGGCATACTGCAGAGATCGTAAAGTCACGAGCCAAACATCCCAGGACAGTAAAGATATCCTGTCAGGCAACTGTAACAGCATCCTGTCTCAAATAATCAGAAATCACATCGCAAGTGAAATTATTTTATTCCCTTTATGCTCTGGGTAAAATGAACTTTTATTTTAGGATAACCAAATTCATATTAGGTAATCCAGATGCCTGCTCAAAAACTACCGGAAGTTTTTACATTTTCAGCCCTGAGCTGTACCTTGCATCTCGCAAGCAGCGTTAATGCATTTCCTGGTCTCTGGCCAATCAAGCTATATTTCAATTATCTGTGATGCTTAGTGGATAAAGTTCTTGTTTTCGGGCACTCTTCCCTGGAAGGAGAATAAGATTGTTTGATGTAAAGCTCCCCGAGGCACCATACGTCTCAACATAGTGGACAGTCTGCTGGTTCTCATTGTTCACAGGCGGATCAGGCACCTTCTGTTGTTGCAACAGAGACTGAAGCCTTAAGTTCTCTCCTGGCACATCTAAAATTCACTGGACAACCGTATCCTGGCCTTTTGAATCATTGTAGACCAATATCATGTTTCTTGTGAGATGCTTTCGTTTACCCCCCAAAAAGTTATTCATATATCAGTATTGGAAATCCTAAGGTTCATGGGAACTCCGACAGAGGTTATTGGACGAAAAGCAAAGCAACGTTCTTGTATTGCGGGTGTACCTTTACGGCAAATTTTTCGAAGCTGATGCTTGAGCCCAGACATCGGCATTAGTTAGTAGTCAGTGTTTACATTTGTAATGTACTGTAAGAATTGTATATAGTTTTTTAAAAATTCAGTTGAATTCAAAATATACTTCTGGATACTTAAAAGTTATATCTTTTAATCCAAAGTCGGGGCTCTGTCATCGCATTCACATCCTTGCTGTAAGAATGGCAACTTTAGGTTGGGCATGTTAGCTTTCTTTCTTGTGAATTCGCGAGAAAGGCAAGGAAGAGCCTTCGTACCATTGATATTCAGTACTTTTGTGGGAAACATTGGCTATTAAGATCCCTAACCATGCCTTTGGTGATATTGTTCTCCTGAGTCTCTAGAGACCGAAGTGGCAGCTTTTGCTTTTAGCTTTAAGCCAAAAAGTCCTCAGGTTTATTCCCCTTCATCAAGTGTGGGTTCTGCCAGGAAACTACCTCGGTTAATACATGCTTGGGTTAATATCAGCCACTAGGAGCCTTACATACCTCGATAGTATTGTTCGTGGTTCTGTTCTTCTTGACCTTTGGACACATTTTCCTCTGCTGGATTTCTTGGAGGTGCTCATACCAGTTCGGCAAGATTAAGAGGTGCATCTCCAAGGCCCTGACACTGCCAGTCTCGTGGTTGGAATCAAAGGGTGCATGCGGCAATAAGCCCACTTCAGCTTTAGCAAGTTAATAAACTGACAGGCACAATTTGATTAATCGATAGATCCGAAGCCATTCTCTTGAAACCATAAAAATGTATGTACAACTCTATACAGTAACCATATGTTAGAGTACAATGATGGGTGCCTTTTGACAGTCCTTGAATCATCACTCAATAAATTATGAAATACAGGTTGCAAAAGTAAAACAATATGCGTATTCTATATGTTAGCTTGTTCTAAAGTTGAAAAAGGCCGAACCCCAATATTCACACAGACTACGTATAACACACACACAGCTCACACACACACCACACCAAGCAACGTATACACGTAACTCGTACAACTCATAAACTCAGAACAAGCACTCATAAAGGCTCAACATAGCTCACATGCAAGTTTTACCCAGCTCTTTACATAAACAAACAGCATACTAGATACATATGCGCAGTACAGCTCACGAAAACAAGCGTTTAACAAAAGGCAAACACTCAGATATGCTCACTCATTCACTCGCTTACGCACAGATACTTAATCGTACCCCCCCCCCCACACACACACATACTCGTGACACACAGCATAGTTCACGCAGACATAACGCATACATATGTGTACACTAACAGATGCGCACATACAAAGGCATTCATTCATATTCTCGCACACACACCAGCGCGCGCACACACACACAAACATACGCACGCACACGCACCCCCCC